GATCGCGATAGACATAGAGTTCAGAGAGCCAGAGAATCGTCTGTAGAGCTTGAGGTTCGTCTTAGCCAGGATAGGGATTACTAAAATCTTTCATAATAGAGTGCAAAGTGCGGAGAAGATGATTGATTCCCCGGATCCCTCTGATAAAATCGGATTTACCGTTCCAATTTAAACGCCTAAAATTTCCGGTAAAGATATCTTCTGCAATGACCATTAATAAATGACAGGGTCAAACTTTCAACGTTGCAGGCTTAGATTTGAACGTTGAGTGATTTTCACATGGACGCTCTTTCAAGAGTAACCTCTAAAGAAAACATGTTTGTATTGTCTAATAATAAAAAAGCTGTGAACGTTGTATATAAAGACATTCTGTAGTATATTTAGTATCAGCATTGCGCCCGTGCGAAGCTGGGGCGGGTCGCTAGTATTATAATAATAGATGCAGGAGACTTAATAGATGCAGTTCGTAACCGCCCGTAAATCTTCTCATTTTCTTGATGATCCGAATCCCCCGTAAAACAGAATTTTCTAACAATAAAAGTTCTGATACTATATCCATTTCCGCTCTAAGTACTCTTCTTCACGAAACCAAACAATAGAACTTATGTGCTATGTAGAAGAACTAACATATTATATAATATACTTTAAAGGTGCAAGATCTCGTATCATATCGTATCTCGTCAACAAGCTGTGTAGCTGGTCGAGGAACTTATGTATGTAAATATTCAATTTAAAAAAATCGGTTCACCTAGTCAAAAGTTATGAGGTAACAAACATAAAAAAAATACAGTCGAATTGAGAACCTCCTCCTTTTTTTGAAGTCGGTTAAAAATATGATTAAATGATTTTAAGAAAAGTATGTTCAGTGCTTACCCCAAATAGGTAACTAAATTATGGATTGTCATCGATTGGTCGCAAGTAGTCGCTCATCACTAGCCGCCCATGTTATAAATAAATAATAAATTATGCATTCGCTGCACTCTTTTTTATAGCCGGAAGTCGCCGCGAGTCGGCGCGACCGAAGTCCCGTAACATCGCTGGCACGCTGCACGGGCTCTAAGGCGGTATTAGATCAAAGCATTCAACGGTGAACAACAATTTAGTTATCATTTAGGAACTCGAAATGCTGAAAACAAAAAACACTTGTATACCTACTTAGTTGCAGTTTTTATGCAGACAAGAATAGCAGGGCAAGGAATCATTCAACATAATATTAGTCTTGTAAGTATAAAGCTCCGAATGAGATTTATAATAAAAGTTAAAGTAATATGACACCGAAATGACCCATGGTATTAAATTTTAAATTCAAAGGCAGTAGGTATAACCTTTCTAACAGGCTTGCAGCCTTGCCTTGCTGCAAAATTTTTAATCTGTGTATTTAAGTCTTAAAATAATGTCAGCAGTGACATGAGTGACACGACTGACAGTGGTTCAGAAATCAAAATGGCGGTGATAAACGCTTCTCGTTACCGCATTGCTGCGCTTGTTATTGCTTAACTTGTTACGATTTCCGATCAACTTTGTATATTTTGGCCGCCAATGTCAAATTGTATCAAAATAAATAATCGTGTTTTATTTTTTAGGTAAGTTAAGAAGTAACTATCTGTATGAATTTATTAAACTTCGTAATGTCTTTTTGTCTGTAGCCCAACGTTTTAAGTTTTCTGTAAAGATAGCAGCTTATTTGCATTACATTTCAAGTGCAGATGTTTATGTGTTTATATCTCATTAGTTCTGACATGTACAAATCACTGTATTTAAAGATAGTAAAGTTTAATCGTTATTTATTGAAGGTTAGGTTAATTGGTGCAAGAGAGACTGCAGTTGGTCAATCGAATAAAAATTACCTTGCACTTTTAAAATCAGTTCTGTAAATTTATTCATAAAATTCCATCTTCGATGATATTTATTTTTATAAATTCCTTTGTATTTTTTGTTTTGAACTACTAACACTGACAAAACTTTAATGTCATAGACACAACAACTAATTTAACATTATCAAACGTCACATAGGAATGTACAAAGCAGTATTATGTAGGCTGTAAGAAAATATGAAATAATTATCTTTCTGTATGCATTGTATGCTGTCATTATAAAATTATAGAAAGACAAACTTTACCTGTAGTAGGAAATGTCTTCTTTCCTTTTATAACTTTGTATACTAAGTCTGTTATTTTTCATCTCTAAAAAAATTTGATTATGATTGTACTAATTTCAATGAAACAAATTTATTAATCATCTTCTGAGCCCTTCCCAAACTAGGTTGGGAAAAGCTTGCAGTCTACAAATACATGACTGAACTTTGATTTTTTAGCTGGTTTCCAAGTCAAATTTATACATTAAGACTAGTGGGCCTGACAGACGTTGTCCTGTACACATATATAAATAAAGAAATAACTAAAAAACATTCTGTAGGGGACAAAATTGTGAATCTAAACCATTCTTGAATCCACTTGAACACACACAAAAAAAAACATCAAATTCGGTCCAGCCGTTGAAGGGGAGTTCAGTCACATACACATGTACAGAAGAATTATATATTTAAAGATTGGAAGATTTTTTTTTGCACCCCTTTTTAAAAAAGGGTCCCAATGAATATTCATATATTTACTTAGATAAAATTGCACTAAGCATACAAAATGTATAATAAAATTTATGCCAAAGATCTACTTAAAGATATAGGAGTCTTGCATATATTTTGATTTCCCTCATAGTATAAAAGTTCTGTGTGGTGATGGATTAAGAAGATGGATTACAGCACTGCAAACAGAAGGTAAACTTGAAACAAACTCTATACCAATCCGTCTGGGCAGCGTGATACAGCAGGCCACAACCTCCTTTCTAAGGAGAGGCCTATGTCCAGAAGTGGACTGTTAAACACTGTTAAGTTGTGATGATGATAGTATAAAACTATACAGTGACAGCTTAGTTATAATGGTTAATGAAATCAACCAAAACATTTTAAACTGTCGAAATTTGATAGCCAGACAATTTCTAGTCCTAGTAAATAGCAGTTGTTAAATTGATTACACTGTTTAGAATAATTAATCTACCTTTCATAGTACAAGCTCTGCTTAGTTTGAAACTAGCTGGTGTTGTGTGTCAGAAGTCTGAAAATATTATTATGAGCTCTGATGCAAAATAGTTCGTCTAGTGTGAAATTTTCTGTCAGATTTTTTCTAACTTCATTATTTTTGTATATCTACATAAAATATTAAGCTGTTCTACTATCGTTACTTATGCAATTTTTTAATTATGAATCAATAAACTATTTTAGCTTTTTAAATTTATACATATCCTGTTTTAAATTCAAAGAAGTTATAAGCAAAATAGTTCGTCTAATTGTTAATTGATGCAAAAGAGTTCGTCTATCGGTGAGTTTAATAAGATTATTCCTTCTTTGTATGTTTTAATTGGGCCTGTTGCTCTGACGGGCCTGTTGGTCGAGTGGTTAGTGCTCCTGACTGCTAAGCCGGAGGTCATGGGTTCGATTCCCACCCAGGACAAATATTGTGTGATGAGCATAATCATTTGTTCTGTGTCTGGGTGTAATTTATCTATAATATGTATTTAAAAATATATAAGTATGTTTATCAGCAGTCTGGTCACCATAGCACAGGCTCTGCCTAGTTTGGGATCAGACGGCCGTGTGTGAAATGTGTGAGGTATATTATATTATAATTATGTTGCATAATTTAAATGTAAAAGTAATTCTGTGTCATTTGTCAAGTGAGACTGTATAAATTCTGAAAATTTCAGTCTTTTTCATTAGTTTTCAAATAACAATGGGTTGTGGCAAACCCGTGTGTGAAGAGCTTCGAAAGCGAATAGTTAGTGGGGTCGATGCTGGCAAATCAAGTTACAAAATATCTAAAGACTTGATACTTCCCAGGTCTACAGTCCAATCTATCATTCAGCATTATAAAAAGAATAGAATGACTTCTTGTTTGAAGAAAACTGGTCGACCACGCATCACAAGTGCAGTAGAAAACAGAATCCTAAAGAAAATTATCAAAAATAATCGTCGTGCTCGAGCTGAAAAACTCACGGTGCAATGGAAGGACATGATTCACAAAGACGACGTTGATACTTGCAAAAGAGTCCAAAAAAGAATGGGTTACGGATTTTACACCGCTAAGGAGAAACCACTGTTGACTGCTGCGGAAGTGATTCGGAACAAAAATGAGGCATTTCATACTGATTGTCTCAAACGCAAAGTGAAGCTTCTGGCGTCTCTTATGATATGGGGCTGCATGTCTGCACAAGGTGTTGGTGGTATGCAGTTTGTGGGTGGTCCTATCAATGCTGCAAGGTATCAAAACCTTTTGGAAGAGAATTTACTGCCGTCTATTCCGTCACTTAAGCATCAAGATTCCTTCATTTTTCAACAGGATGGTGCTTCCTGCCTTACTGCAAGGACAACGAAGACGTGGCTACTTGCGAAAAGCATCCCTACAATCGAATGGCCATCTAACAGCTCGGACTTGTCGCCAATCGAAACCCTATGGTGGAAAATGAAAAAAAGTTCTAAGTAAAAATCCATCAAGATCGAAGAGCGACTTAAACTCTTGGCTGTCTGGGAGTCAATTACGCCTGAGGAGTGTGCAGCGTTGGTTGCAACCATGCCTCTTCGCATTAAAGCTGTCATTGAGAGCAAAGGCGACACAACTAAGTGGTAGACGAAATATTTTGCGTGCGTGACAAGGGTAGACGAATACTTTTGCGTTATGTTTTTTAGAATGTTTTTTAAAAAATTTATGAGATGTAAAGTCATGAAAGAATTTCAGTTATGTTAAAATAAACTTTAAAATGTTCCTCAAATTGTGGTTTACTTTTTATTAAACGTTCTTAATTATTTTACCAATATTTAGTTTCTATATTTTACGCTTTGCACTACTTTCCATACTAGACGAACTATTTTGCATCGGGGCTCGTATTATAATAACTACAATTTAATTGGATTTTTTTCAGTGAAGTTGAAAGTGAACTACTAGAAGACAATGAATCAGACAGTAGTGGTGAAGACTGAAATGCAGTCTAATGGGGAAATTCTGCTGTTTTATGTAGATGGTGAGTGTGTGTTCTTTAACAACAATGACATTAACTGGCCTGTTAGTCTAGCGGTAAGCGCTATATACTGCTAAGTCAGAGGTTGTGAGTTTGATTCCTATCAAAGACAAATATTGTATGATGAGATTGATTACTTATTGTATATCTGGATGTAATTTATCTATGTATGTATTTAGAAATATATAAGTATGTTTATCAGTTATTATGTTTATCAGTCTTGTTATTTTGTCTAGCTTGGAATCAGAAAGGCCATGTGTGAAATGAGTCTGGATATTATTATTATTAATGATTCTTCTGTTGTTTCTGTTCTGCTAGGCCTTGACCATCCGTTTGAAAGCATTCAGTCTCATCATCTAGCTAGCTTCTGACTTATTGAATTTTCTCACCAAGTCAAAAAATATATTATAGTATTATAGTGCTTAGAATATATTATATAAAACTTGTTTTACAAAATCTGTAAGATTTATGCATTTTGCTTTCATACATTATTTTATTAAACATGTTTGTATATTTCAGAAAATGGTGGCAACGAAGAAGGAGTATTGACAACAGTACAGAGCATTGAAGATCAAGCAATAGAACTGCAACAAGATAACTCGTATATCTTACCAGATGTTGGAGACCTCTCCAGCGATATTAATGTAGCCCAAACCAGCATACAGAATGATAACTGGAGTGATGATGACATCAGGAAGCTTCTCATTTTCTACACTGATAACAAACAAACATTTATATCAGGCACAACAAAAAAGAAACACTTATGGACCGTTGCGTGCAAGACAATGTTGGTTGGAAAAAATCCTAACGCTTGTGATGCACAACTGAACAGCCTTCGGGAAAAATACTTTGAAATGTGTGGCCATATTCAAAAAGGTCAGTACATAAAGTGGCCCTATTTTGAATTATGCCATCAAGTGTTTCATGATGAAATCTTCAAAAGTAGTCAAGACTATGATGATTTAATTGAACCGCAAATAGCACATGTATCAGTGCCAAAACCTAGTCATGAAAATATCATGGTTGTAAAAAAAGTTAACAGTCGAGCATCTCCTGATGAAAAAGTTGAATTAATGCTTAATTTGTATTTGAAGTACAAAAAGAGTTTCCAACAAGAATATAGGAGAAAGGGCCTATGGGAGACTATTGCTATGGAGTTGGGCGAAGATGATGGAGAGTATTGGCAAAAGCGGTTTTTGAATTATAAGCAACATTACTCTCGGTTGCTTGAGAAGAGACGCATATCTGGTCCAGAAAGTATTAATTGGCCTTACATGGAATTATTTGACAAAATATTTGAAGGTGATGAAGATTTCAATCGCAAATATACAAATCAGGATTTAAAGGAAAGTCAGGTTGTTTTAGAAGAATCTAAACTTGATTGGGATAATACAGAAATGACAGTTTTAGTCAAATATTGTTTTGATTGTTTTGATGAGTTTGAAGATAGGACCATACCAAACAATTTTCTTTGGAACGAAATAGGCAGACTCCTAGACAAAAGTGCTGATGCTTGCAAACAAAAGTATGAAGATATGAAAAATGCCCATTTGGATAAATATATAGAGGGTGGATACGATATGCGAAGTCGTAAACCTATAGCAATATTATTTGATAATATAATATCAAAGGAAATTGAATTGCAGATTATTAAAATGAGAAATAAACCAGAGGAGCTAGAAATATGGAAAATGGAAGAACTTGATGAACTCGTTCAATTCTTTTATGCAAATGTAGATATGTACAAAGATCTCATTTGCCACTATGTATGCTGGGCAGCGGTGGTGAAAAAGATGAAGCGAGAATTGCAAAGCTGTAAGGGGCAATGGGAGGATCTAGTTTCTCTTTACAAGACTATTTTGAATGATAAGAAAGAAAATCCTGATATGCAAATAGATTGGAGATACATTGAACTTTTTGATAGAATATTTGACTATGGTATGGACACGAATCTGCTTTCAGGGTATGAAAAGTTGAAGGTACCAAGTCAGGAAAGCAGTAAAATTGGTGGTAAGAGTTGTTTTGGACTTGTTTACTTTTACTCTCTCTCTTTTATCTTCTATCTTAATTCCTTGCAACTGCAAACAATTAAAATAAATGTAACAGATGCTTGTTTGCAAAACAGTTAATTAAATTGTGACAAATGATATTATAGACCATGAAACATATTCTAGGCCAAATTATGGAATTAATGGACCCTAAAAAACTAAGTACTTTTGAAATTAAGCTTCATACTTTGTACACACAAAAAAAAAGGAAGCTGCACTTACAGATCTCTTAGTGTGGTTTTAGGAATGTGTATATAAACACTATCAAATACCCTTAATATCCCTATTGTTATTTCTGATAGATTAGTGGTTAAATGAAACGTATGTATGTACTAATATGCAAACAGTAATAAAAAATATATTTGTTGTATTCAAACACACAATGGATTGTATTGTTTACTTTTATGTATGTTTTCTCGGAAGTGAAATTTGTAAATTCTTTTATTTCATTTTATTTTTTATTTTGTTCGGAAAACATACAGTGCATATAACAAAGGATACAACATGTGAAATAAAGATTCTAAAACCGTAAACCGTAATGTATATCTAACTGTTGTTAAAATAGCAGAGTTTCACATTGTTCAGTATAGTCAGTCCAATGCTTCTGTTTCTAATCTGTGTGTAAAATTAAACCTATTTTTATTTCCAGTTAAAAAAATTAAAATAAAATCTGAAGACTTAGAAGAAGATTTTTCTGAAGATGATGAATCGTTCGACGAAAGAGGCTTCACAAAACGCACTAAGCGACGAACAGGAGATTCCAAAGCTTTCAAAATACTCGAATACTACCAGAAAAATAAAGAGAAGTTCTCAACTACAAATAGAAACAAACATTCCCTGTGGGAGATACTCGCTAAACAAATTGGGATATCAGCTACACAGTGCGCCCACAGGTTTAGAAATCTCAAACAAGTGTACACAGCTTATGTCCAACGAGAAATTAATAAACCCGAAATGCCAATTCTCTGGCCTTACTATGCTCTGTGTAAAAAAGTTTTTGGATATAGAGCCATAAAAAATAAATTGAAAAATGGTAAACTGGATTCAGATGATAGCGAGGATTGGTCTGCTAAAGAAATTAAGCAACTTATTAATTATTTCTCTCAAAACTTTGATGAAATTAATATGAATGTTGACGATAGTACTAAATGGTCTGAGTTAGCAGCAGAGATAGGTAAAGGAGAAACATCTTGTAAAGAAAAGTTCTTAGAACTTAGAAAGTCTTATAGGAAGCTGAAGACTATGAGATCCAGGAACCCAGATGTGAAGATATCTTGGAAGTACTTTGCCTTGTTTGAACAGATTTATAGTGCAAGGGAAGACGGTGTACATGAACCTATGGATGTGGATGATGGGAGAACATACATGGAAATTCCCATGGAATCTGATGAAAGGAACGATCAAGAAGGTATGCTTTTTTTTTATGTTTAAGTAGTTCTCTATAATAATAACTATTTATTTCAGACCATGGTGTCAATTTTGTTAGTAACAATATTCTTAAAGATTTTGTTAGTCATAAGTTATTAGAAACAAATTTAACCTTGATCAAGCATCTTTCAAAATTTATTCAACCAACTGTCATATTTTGGGGCCCTTGCTAACGCAACGTTGCTTTTATGGTATAGACGGTACTGATAATACTACTTCTTGAATTTAGTCTAAACTTATACTTTTTAATTACAGAAGACGAATACCAATGTATAATAGTCATACCAGAAGGCGAAGATATAGAAAACGCTCAAATAATCATTCAAGACCATTCTAGCATATCAGAAGAGCAAGATGTGCTGACCGATCAAACTGAGTCAACCATTCAAACTGAGCCATCCACTCCAACTGAGCCAACCACTCAAACTGAGCCATCCACTCAAACTGAGCCAACCACTCAAACTGAGCCAACCACTGAAACTGAGCCAACCACTCAAACTGAGCCAACCACTCAAACTGAGCCAACCACTCAAAATGAGCTAACCATTCAAACTGAGCTAACCACTCAAATTGCAGAAGCTACAGAACCAGCAGAACCACCAAAAACTTTTATTAAATGGACAAAAAGAACGAAGAAGCGACTACTTATTTATTATATAAACTATATAAGATCCCATAAAGGTAAAGAAATAGAACCCAAAGAAATGTGGAAAGAGATAGCAACAAAATTGAAAGATAAAACTCCATTGGCTTGTAGAAAAATGTTAGCAAAGTTGAAAGTGAACCATAGGCAAATTGAAACTGATGATCCAAATATTAAAAAGCCACCTTACTACACACTAATGCAGAAAGTAATGCGGTTAAAGCCTAAATTTGTAAAAACGGCGAAAAACAAGGCTTTAAAAGACGGGAAAGTATACAAAGATGTAGTTTTACCTGATGAAAAAGTTGTGCAAGCACTTCAATACTACTTAGAAAACATTGAAGACTTTGTAAGTCCTAGATACGAAAAGAAATATCTATGGACAGGGCTGGCTAACGCCGTTAGTGAACCTATAACAAAAGTGTTTAACAAACTGAATTATTTAAAACAATTTTACAATAGTGATACCGATGAGGTTGCTGGACAAAAGACACCTTTTGCACCATTGCTGAAAGAAATTTTAGCGAAAGAAATAGCTATAAAATTGGTGTTGGAAAATGAACCTAAACCTGTAGTAGAAGATTCCGATATTGAAGTAGCATGGACCGATAAAGAAACGGAACAACTCCTAGAATGGTATCTAAGTAATTTGGATAAATTTAAGAATCCGAAATTTGTAAGGAGTTACTTGTGGATGGAGGTTTCAGCTATTTTAAATAAAAGTGCGATTGCCTGTTCAAAGAAAATGTATGAAATCAGAACTCAATACAGGAATATGGTGAGGGAAACCCCTGATGAATTGGCTGGATGGAGATTCTTGGAGTTGTGTCAGAAAATTTATGGGACAGGCAAGAAGGGGAACCAGCCTTTGCAGGACCCGACGGTTGCCTGAGACTACGATTGGTCTAACCTGGAAAATTGGTTAGACACTTTCTGTTGAAGTTTTGATAGGTAATCATTAACAGAAAAATGTGGTTCTATTAGGTTGTCTTTCAAAATATGTCGACCTATTTTGACATGTACATTTTATTATTAGTTTCAAAATTAATATAAATGTATTATATTAGATATTTACCTTTAAAATGCTATGCCAAAGAACAATGGCGGGTCTCCATACAAAAAAATATTTGGAATCTTATTGCATTGTCTTGAAGTAAAAAATATTACAAAATTCGGCTATTTTTTTAGAATCTATGTGTAAAACAATTTTTGTTTGGGAAATGCCAGGAAAAAAGATATTAGCATTTGATTTTTTTAGTTACGAACTGCCTTTTTTTTTAAAGCTACAATACACAGATAAAAGAGTATTTTATAACATAGCTCCGTAATGTTTCCTTTCTAAAAGTTCTACAGCTAGTGGACGTCGAGCTATAGACAAATTGATAAAATGTCTATAGCTATCGACTCGACGTCTACTAGCTGTAGAACTTTTATAGGCTATATTCTTATGTCACAGATGCATGAAATAATCCTCTTATACTATGTACACCTGCATACAATAAGTATATTCCTTTTGCTTAATTTATTACCTATTTCAACATGAAATGCATCATAAATTCTAAACCTAAGCTAATATAATTGGCGGTGCCATTTGCCGCCTGTCGCGTCAGACTGGCAGTCTTTATATTTAAACAATAACTCACAGATCGCAAATTTCTGTCAAGAGTTGTCAAAAAGCCTTTGCTTTTTTCAGCTTGCAACTGCCACTTCTTTTTTACTTCTTTAAATTCCACTAAAGGATTTTCAAATACGTAAAAAATGTGTTTAAAAATGCACCACAAACTACTCGTACATACTTATTGATTCGGTACTTAGGATTATACAACTATTATCTGATTATCATATTACTATTAAGTGATTACCATATTACGAAACTTTATGGGACAGTATTTCCATTACTTTGAAAAAGTGGCTGTAAAATGGTAACACTTAAACTGATAAAGGCAATTCAAATAATCTTATAATATTTTTCTTTCTTTTCCTGGGGTTTTACTGACTTAGACGATAGTTTTAAAAAATGTAGATTTTAACTAGAATTAGTTTCCTATGAATGACATTTTAAGACGTTCAAATTATACTCAACTACGAATTCGCCATTGTTTTTTGATAATTTGGCTATCTTCGGCTAAACACTTGCCGACTGTTTCATTCGATTAGGTAATTAGGAATATAGCCAACTAATAGCTATTGTCTGAAGTATGGCTTGCTGAAGCTTAAATATATACTACAATTGTATAATGTATATTAAAATCTTAACGGCCTTTCTAGTCCGAAAAATTGTATGCGTAAATTGGCCAATGAATACTTATGTAATTGTATTTTTTACACTAGCCGACAATTGCGTCCGCATGTCTCAAAACAAATAAGCAATATTTTTCATTGATTCGCCGCTCCTATTGGCCGTGGCGTGATGTTATATAGCCTAGATACTTCCTAGATAAATGGGCTATCAAATTTAAAAGCATTATTCGATTCGAACCAGTAGTTCAAAAGATTAGCGATTAGCAGTTCTGATAGATTCTATATTCAGTAGCATCTATATGCTTGTTTAAATTACGTGTTGCTAAACTTAAAAATATTACAAAATAGTTCGTCGGTAACGTTATATTAACTTTATCGATGGTGTCGGAGTGTAGTAGGAGGGACTAGGGTGGGCTTGTAAATATACATTTAACAGTTTCCTGGCAGAAAAAAATATTTTTTTATTAAAAAATGTGGTGAGTCGGTACTCCATCTGACTACATTGTGAGTGAACTCTGATTTAATATTCCGATGAGTGTATACACAAATATGTCTACGCTAAGCTAAGCTACGGTTAATTTGGGTCCATAGAGTGCTTTATATCTAGTTTACGCGAGGAGATTATTATTATCAAGTAACTTATATACTGTATATTAATTAATGTGTGATAATCTCGAATAGGTTCCTTCTTTAGAAATGTTAATCCAAATGTACTATATCAGACGTTTTTATGAGGCATATTCTAGATAAACTTTAATGTTTTATTTGTTATGAAATGTAGAACACAGATTAAGACTGACTGAAAATACAGAATCAACGTTAACAGTAAATTAAACCTTATTCCATTAAAATAAATCTGTAAATCGTATATTCGTTGGACAATATATACATATATATATATAATAATATGCTATATTCATCATCATCTGCATGTCTGGAGGTTTGGTCATCTGTTTTTATGGTGTGCCGTGTATAGGCATGTAATAGGTTTCAGGCAGGACTAGGTAGAGTAGGAGATAGGGTAATGGGTACATCAAGTCTCGGGTGAAAAACGGGACTGAGATAACAGAAGCTAGAAGAGGCTGGTCGCGTACCTGTAGTGCCGGAGCGTTTACACGCTTATTACTTTTAACCCCCGACCCAAAAAGAGGGGGGTGTTATTAGTTTGATGTGTCTGTGTGCCAGTGCCTGACGTGATCGAGATGGTTCTTAGCTATAATTTATGAAGATCATCAGCTCAATTCTTAGTTGATGAAGGGATCTCAATAACTTAAATAACTCTGATTGATTTTGAAGTTGGGTATACTTTAGTGGTATTTCCATGATATGGTAACCTCAAGGTTTGAGAGATCCAAACCAATCCTTGGGTTGATGCTGGTGTCAGGGGAGTTTCAAATTATTAATTTGTGGTATCCAGAATAAAAAGATGGAGCGCAATTACAAAAGCTCGCACCAGTTCCATAAAACACTATAGTCAATTCGCGTTATGAGAATAGTGACGCATCGATCAAGACCCTCACCCGTACGTAACGATAATTTTCTTGGAACCTGATTGGTCAGGGGGCGGAGCTTAGTCAATACGTCACTATTTTCTTATCGCGAAAGGACTATAGTTACGACACTGCGTACCCGTATGTGTAATGTCACTAAACACAGGGACATCAAGAGACTTTATTTTGTTCTCTTTTTTAATATTTGAGTTCGTTTTAAATTGACAGTTATATTTGGGGTCATAAGTGGGCTTGCATCGGTCAGAGGAATCTAGCCAATCAATACCATTATCCATTTTATGTAGGATTCTTAAATATCAAAGCAGATGTTTTGAAACTGAAGGATATCTTCATCAGTGAGTGGTTATTTTAACAATCATTTATTGTACTTAAAACCGTTAATAGTATGATAAATATTTTAATAAAAGAGGATTGTAAATTTTTTAAAAATTATGTTAACATTATAAAATGTTTTACTATAAGGTATTGTTTTAGTTATTAAATTGTAAATTTTAATAAATATATGCATTGAATATTGTTCTTTATTGCTATTAATACAAGAAAAGAGAAGATTACAAGGTAATTCGATTGACGCAAGAATTGTTAATAAAAGCTTAAAACCAAAACATGAATAGAATAAAACCACTTCAACTTAATTTACCTCTCGGTCATTAATCATCTGATTTTTTTGAAGTATTTTAGTTCTATTCATGTGTGGTGACATACATACAGCCAGTTTCTTCAGGCACCTTGGAATGTTTGGAGAATTCGGACGGAGATTTTATAGTAGTAGCTATTGGTGCTAATTCTGTTGTTCGAAAACTCTCTAAACTAAACTAAAAATCACAAAAAAATCGGTTGTCTGTAAAGTCGGTTTACTGACGATAGTTGAACGTGACAACGTCATAAGAAAATACTGATGGAATGGTTGCATTTTACGAAAACATGTAAATGTATTATTAGTATAGCAGCTGTCCACGCGGACGCATCGCTCACTCAAGTAGGAGAGAGACAGATGTCAAACGCTGCCGAAGGCGGAGGCCGATTGTGCCTCTTTGTCGCTCATTCCGCGCTCTCGCTTGCACTTCAAGCCTTAAATGGAACGCCTCAGAGCAAGGTAACGCCACATGAGTCATGTTTTTTCGTGCGTGCAGCCGGCTCCATCGAATTATAAGACGTTGTCACGTCAAAATTGTTTAGTCCTGTCAAACAACGTTTCCTATTCTGAAAACGTAATATTTGACAGGACAAAATATTTTTTTAGTGATTTTTAGTTTAGTTTAGAGAGTTTTCGAACAACAGAATTAGCACCGTTATGTTATTTATTTGAGGAAATATAATATTTTAACGGAGTTAATTATTATTGTTTATTATGTCGAGGATGGAAACCCATGTCATTAAAAAATTCGGAGGCTACCCTCCGTCTGACTGATAAAAACTTTTTATAGAATAGAATAGAATCCATGCTAATATTATAAATGCGAAAGTGTGCCTGTCTGTCTGTCTGTTGATAACAACCTCTTCACGCTTAAACCGATTGAGATGAAATTTGGCATAGAGATAGTTTCGAGTCCCAAGAAAGGATATGGATAGTTTTTATCCCAGAAATCATCCTTTAGGGGGTGGAAGTTTTGTTTGAGGAATCAATAACCGCGGAACCGATTCATATGAAAGTTGGTATGGAGGTAGTTTGATTCTTTATAAGGGACATAGGCTTTTTAGCGCGATAACCGACATATACGCGAGCGGAGCCGTGGGCAATAGCTAGTGGAATATAAATATATTACACTAGCTATTGCCCACTGCTCCGCTCGCGAAATAATAAAATTATTTGCATGGATTTTTTTGCTTTAAGGCACTACTGCTTATTCATCATCATGATGATGATGATTCCACTGCTGGACATAGGCCTCTCCTATTGCACGCCACTTCGATCGATTTTCGGCTTCTCGCATCCAGCTCCTGCCAATCATCTTACGCAAATCGTCACTGCACCTGGTCTGTGGGCGTCCTACTCGGCGTTTATCGAGACTACTGCTTATAACTCGCTTTTTATCTATCTAGCTACGTGCCCAACGAAATGTTTCAAAGTAGTTTTTGCCGTGGCATGGCCGGGCGTACTTCGGCAGCCCGAAGGACGTTTTGGTATGACGTGGCATGT